TCCAAAACAGGATATAGATGAGGACAAAAAGATGAAGGATCTCGAGAGCAAAATTGATGCCCTGATGTCTGCTCAAGAGGTAAAGAAGACCGGCATTCCGTGTCCTTACCCGAAAGAGTGGGATTCGATCCCGTATCCGGCGAAATTCAACCTGATCAACTTCACGCCGTTCGACGGGAAGGGTTCCCCCACTCAGCACGTGATCTATTTCAAATCTCATTTGGGAGTGATCTTTGGCAACGAGCCTCTGATGGTCCGGTCATTTGTTGGCACCCTTCGCGGGCCCGTCTTCGATTGGTACCGCCGCCTAAAGCCTGGAAGCATCAACAGCTGGGAGGACCTGGAAAGCATGTTCCTCGCTCATTTCTTCGATGATGACGCCGAAGTGTCGATCAGGACACTCTTCGATGAGAAACAAAAAGATGGAGAGTCGGTGGATAGCTTCATTAAACGCTTTCGCAATCAGGCAATGAACCGTAAGGATTCCGTCACGGAGGAATTTGTCTTGCAAACCTGTCATAATAACTTGTCCGTTAACATCTTGGACGTTATGGGAGGAGAGCCGCTCAATACCTGGAGAGAGTTGAAGGTGCGCGGAGAACAGGCCGAACATGGGAGTAGAGCCACTCAATACCTGGAGAGAGTTGAAGGCGCGCGGAGAGCAGGCCGAACGATTCCTTAGAAGGAGGAAGGTTGAAAGATGCCAACCGATGACTAATCCTCTGAATCCGGGTCTCGTTTCCCATAATGAAGGGAGGGCGCCTACAACAGTTGTTGACGTTAATCAGACGTCGCAACAGCAGTCCCGAAGACAGCAGAATAGTTCGGATCCGAGGCTCCAAAAAGAGTACTCATTCAAGGACGAAGACGTTCTAGCCATCTTCGAGACCCTTCTTGAAAGCAACAAGATCAAGCTACCGCCCATCACGAATCAGGAGGAAGCTGACAATACTGCGGATCCGAAGTACTGCGCGTACCACAGGAGGATCCTTCATCCCACCAAGGCTTGCTTTACTTTAAAGAATAGCATCCAAACCTTGGTTGAAGCCGGCGTCATAACGCTAGGATAAGCCAAATAAGAACGGCAATACTCCGAAGAGTATACGAGTATAAACTGCTTCTCAATACTCCGAAGAGTATACAAGTATAAACTGCTTCTCAATACTCTGAAGAGTATACGAGTATAAACTGCTTCTCAACACTCCGAAGAGTATACGAGTATAAACTGCTTCTCAATACTCCGAAGAGTATACGAGTATAAACTGCTTCTCAATACTCCGAAGAGTATACGAGTATAAACTGCTTCTCAACACTCCGACAAGTATAAGAGTATAAACTGCTTCTTACTCCTCCAATCGGTATATGAGGTTAAACTGCTCCCTGATACTCCAATAGGTATATGAGTCTAAACTGTTTCCTACCGTTGATGGGAAGTTCCTGGAGAATGTTACGCTAATATTCTTAAGGATAACCCGGACATGTAACGGAGTACAAAGTCAGACCCAGTTCCAAGAAAGAAGCTGGGGGTGGATGATTCATGTAATGGGAAGTTCCCAGAAGAACGCTATATGTAATTTTCTTAGGGATAACCCGATAATTACGAACAAAGTGATAAACACTAAACCCCCACTATGATTTGTACTCCCACTCTCACTGTCTACCTGGTCAAACCTTCCTATAGTTAGGACCACAACCAAAGTCCCCTCTCGATTCCTTCCATGAACGAGAGGTCCACTTTCAAATTGAACGATCAAGCCTGTAAAAGGTAAGATCATCTCAAACCTCCCACTTTCACTGCTTCCTTGGTCAAACCTATAAAAGTTAGGGCCACAACCAGATTCTCCTCTCGATTCCTTTCATGAACGAGAGGTCCACTTTCAATTGAGCAATCAAACCTATAAAAGTTAGGATTGTCTCCAACTTTACTTAGTCAAACCTGCAGATAGTTAGGACTAAGATTGAGTTATCCTTTTCGATAAACGAAAGACTTCCATCTTTTCCTTTTTCCACCAAACCTATAAAAGTTAGGGTCGAAATTAGGCTTTCTCCTCAATAAATGAGGGACTCTTTTTGGATCGAATGACCAATCCTATAAAAGTTAGGGTCGTTTGAATCTTTCCGATTCTCGGAGTGGAGATCCCACTCTTAGTTTCATCATTTCGGATTCTGAGGGTGGAGATCCCACCTTGAGTTTCCTTTCCAACTGGAGATAGAATATAAAATTCTTCCTCTTCAGTGCCGGGAGATAGAATATAAAACAACTTCTAATCCGTGCACTTTGTGCACGGGGAATTTTATCTCAACTCCTAAATAGAGATAAGCCTACGCCTAACTCGCGTTGCCGGTTTAGTCTTTCACCGATTGAAAAAGACACCAGAATCCAGTCTGGGGCATTTTATCCCGAAGCCTAAGTAGGGATAAGTCAACGCTTAACCCGCGTTGCTGGGTGGTTCGTTCCCGTAAAAATGACCGAGTCTACGTATTCAGCATCGTAGCAACAAAAATCCATGCCTTTTATGCATGGGGAATTTTATCCCGAATCCTGAGCAGGGATAAGTCAACGCCTAACACGCGTTGCCGGTTTAGTCTTTCACCGAATGAAAAAGATACCAGAATATAAGTCTGGGGACTTTTATCCCGAATCCTAAGTAGGGATGAGTCAGCGTCTAACACACGTTGCCGGGTGCTATATTCCCGTAAGAAATGGCGAAGTCTATGTATTCAAAGTCATAGCACCAAGTCTAAGTGAATTAATTCTCTTAGCGCAACGTTACATGTGAAACGGGTTTTAATAATTCACATGCTAGCCCGATTCAAACGGTAATCGGTAAAGGCACATCAAATCCGTTGAAGGCTGGGGGTTTGCCAAAAATCTTAAGTCTACGTCTAACACACGTCGCCGGTTTAGTCTTTCACCGATTGAAAAAGACACCAGGGTCTAAGCCTGGGGAATTTACCCCGAAGCCTAAGGAGGGGTAAGTCAACGCCTAAATATCGTAGCACTAAGAGCGTTAACTCTCTTAGCACAACAAAGTCAACGCCTAATACACGTTGCCGGGTAGTCTATTCCCGTGAGAAAGACGAAGTCTACGTATTCAATATCGTAGCACTAAAAGAGTTAACTCTTTTAGCATAACGTTACATGCGGAACGGACTTAAACAATCCGCATGCTAGCCCGACTCAAACGGTAGTCGGTAAAGGCTCATCAAACCCGTTGAAGGCTGGGGGTTTGCCAAAAATCCCACAAGTATTATGGTTGATTATTCCATACGTAGTGGTTGATTATTCCATACGGAGTAAGACATCATAATAAATGAGACATAATGAATGAAAAAAAGACATATTTTCTATTAATAAAATTGAGTTTGCAGGTACAAGAGTTACAATCAATCTACATGAAGTTTGTGACTACAGGCTTGCTGTTCAAGTTTAGTCAATTCCTCTGTATAAGTTCGCTCAAGCTCACACTGCAATGCAACCTTGAAGGATTCCTCGGTGAGGGATAATGTTTTCGCAGCCTCTTGTTGGATCTTGGCTAACTTCTTTTTCGAGAGCTCCAATTTTCCGGATATCACAACTCGTGAATGCTCCAAGTCACCCTTCGCCATCCCCAAGATAGCCAAGGCCTCCATTTGATCCACCCGACTTTGTTGCGTTTGAATCTCAAGTCCAGCCGAAGCCCGAGTGTCGTGCCATGCTTGTAGACGAGATTCCATCCAAATGGCTGTGTACGTTGAGCTACCAGCAGTCTTCAACTCTTGTAACCGTCAGAATTCGCGCTCCAGCCGGTCCAAAGCGTCGACATAGCTAATCTGCAATAAAGATCAACAACTCAGTCAAATCAAGAATCGACATACATAAATCGAAAGACTAAAAGGGAAATTGTGAATCTTTAAATGAAATTCTATAAAATGGAATTTTCCAATTAAAGGTCTAATTAAACCTATACGACATTCTCCGTTCAATTTAAAGGAAGATCAAATATATAAGCCAAGCAAATCAAGCGCCTCTTGCATAGTTCACATGTGCAATTGGGCATGAAAATCCAAGGGAAAATCAAGTTAAGTGTCGCGGAGTCAAATATAAGGCCTCGATCATATCAAAATGTGGATTCACAAGTTCAACCATATGCAAGGGTTCAATCACATGTACAAATTCAAGGCATATAAAGCTCTCGGCTATATACAAGTTTGAATTCAATGTTTGAGTTCAAGGCATATGCAAGAATTCAATCGTGCAAAGATCCGGCCATATATAAGAGTGAATTCATAGCATACAAGAAATTTTCGACCACATACGAGTTCGGATCCAAGTCATGCACAAATTCAATTATATACAAGAATTCAGTTATATATGAATTCAACAAATACAAAAGCTCGGCCATATTCAAGTTCGAGTTCAAGCCAAAGTTCCGCCTCAACGATGCATGAATTCAAGAATAGAGCTCAACAAAATTTTCGGTCATATACAAGCTGTCAGTAAACATCAGCCATGAAGAAGAATTTGGTCACGAATGAATTCAGATCCACAACCTAGAGTCAAGCTCAAACAATTCTCAACAAACCGAATATCTTCGACTGTACCCAAAACAGAACATGCAAGTCTAGTTCTTAAACCGAAGGTTCATATCATGTCCAAAGTCGAAGTTAAACAAGACAGAGCCTCGGTCATGACCAAATTCAAGCTTTCAGCTTCGAAGCATCCCGTATACAAGTGTTCAGACAACAAGCTGAGAAGAATTTTAGCCATGCCTACATGCAAAGTTATGAGTCAGATTAATAACTCCCGAATCAAATGCGGAAATTTCAGCCATGATTCAAAACACAAGATCAGACAGTTCAATGAAAGAGTTCAGTTCGAATTTCAGTCAATACTTGAGTGCAAGTTCAAGTCATCATTCAAAAGTTCAACCAAATTTCGGCCAACACAAATCAACAAAAATTTCGGCCATGAACAGTCCAAGAATTTGGCCATGAACAAACCCAATCCAAATTTTTGGTTTTCTCCTAAAATTAAAAATATTGGACTGTAATTATCAAGCCACGAACACAATCAAGCTCAAAAATCGGTCATCATTCAAAGCTCAAGTTTAAGTTTCGGTTTTCCCCAAAATTCAAGAACTAGGGCTTCGATTTTTAGGTCAAAATTCAAAAAAAATCAGCCATGAATCAAGCATCCAAATATGAAGAATGGATAAATTGAAGCAAAAAGGGAGGAACTCACCTGGAACTCAAGAGGGGGATGAACTGTGTGCAAACCCGAATTACCAATGTCCGGTTTTCGAACCCTAGCCGGCCTTCCTCGTAGATTTGAGGGAGTTGAGGGGTTTTGAAGAAGGAGAAAATGAAATATTTAAAGAGCTTGGGGAGTTTTAGCCTTGTTCGAATTCTTGAAGCAGAGGAGTTCTTGGAAAGACCGGGATTTAAAGAGCTTGGGGAGTTTTAGCCTTGTTCGAATTCTTGAAGCAGAGGAGTTCTTGGAAAGACCGGAGCTTGAAGAAGAAACCGAAATGTTGAGAGAAGAAAAGAGTTGGAATCGAAACTGAGGAAGAAGGAAGAAAGAAATAGGGTTTTTACCCCCTTCTCCCAAATTCCGACCCGCGTGCTCGCGGGTCGGATCATTCCGACCCGCGATCACGCGGGTCAGACCAGGTTTAATGCCCGTTTCGCCGTATTTTCGTCCGTTTTCGTCCATTTTTGAAATTTTCGAAGGTTAACCTCATCTCCCGGACAATTTCACGGCATTTTTGTTCATATTTGGAATGTTCAGAGTTCGACTTCATTTCCCGGATAATTGAGCGGCATTTTCAGTCAGATTTGAAGTTTTCGGAGTTCAATTCCGCCTCCCAAATAATTGCGAGATATTTTTGTTTATTTTCAAAATATTCGGGACCCAATTTTATATTTTGGGTGATTTCACTATACTTTCGCCTTTTATCAGAATATTCGATATCCGAACTCCAACGGGTACATGAGTCTAAACTGTTTCCCATTTTGACAGGAAGTTCCTAGAGAATATTACAGATAATAATTCTTAAGGATAACCTGGCAACCTCCAACGGGTACATGAGTCTAAACTGTTTCCCATTTTGACAGGAAGTTCCTAGAGAATATTACAGATAATAATTCTTAAGGATAACCTGGCAACCTCCGGCGGGTACATGAGGTTAAACTGATTCCCGAAACTCTCAGGAGTACATGAGTATAAACTGGTTCTCCTCAGGTTAACGCAAAACCCTAAGGTCAACGCCGGTCAACGTGTAGCCTTAGGTCAACGTCGGTCAACGCGCTGCGATGAAAGTCAACGCCGATCAATTCGAAACCCTAAGGTCAACGTCGGTCAACGCGTAGCCCTAGGTCAACGCCTGTCAACGCGTTGCAATTGATCCAAAAGTCATCTCAATGACATATCAACAAAAAAAATCCACTCACCAGTTCCGGTTCAAAGCTTCAATAACGGTCAGACGATACACGCAGTACCGAGAAAATCTTAGCTATTCGACAAAATACAGAATACGCTAAAATATGGAGAAGTCAAGAATCAAAACCATCTGTAGGTCCTTTAACACTGACTGAAGGTGGGGATCCATCATATCCAAAGCGTTTCAGACTCCTCTATAAAAGAATGAGGCTGAAACACTTTAGAGGGGGTATCTGTAGGCGTCTAAAATTGTCTACGAGAGCCCACACGAAATCCGAAGCAATGAATGGGCGAGTCAAAGAGATTCACCTAATCAGCTCGCGCACGTCGCTCGGCGCACTCACGCCATTCAGCCCGTGCGCGCCGGTCAACGTGCGTACGTCAAATCAACTCGTGTGCGCTGGTCAACGAGCACACATCAACAAACTCGTGCGCCGATCAACGTACGCACGTCAATCACCTCGTGCGCGCCAGTCAACGCGCACACGTCAACCAATTCGTGCGCGCCGATCAAACGCGCACACGACAAACCGCCTCGTGCGCGCCGGTCAACGCGCGCACGTCAATCAGCACGCGCTCATCGATCAGCACGCGTACATTAACCAACGCGCGTTCAACGATTGGTCTCGCGACGGAGCATACAAATCAACAAATCTATCGAATACGCGACAAGAACAAATCCCGGAAGAAAGAAACCAAAAAAGGGGAAAAAGTCGGCGAACCCGCGCTAAGCGCAGGACGGAATGATCCGACCCGCGCAAGCGCGGGACGGATCAATCCGACCCGCGCAAGCGCGGGTCGGATTATTCCGACCCACGCGAGCGCGGGTCAGATCGTTCTGCTGCGCAGTCTAAAGTCCCAAAACACGTTTTGACAGTTTTAAATTGGTTTTTTGCAGGGTTTATCGGTTCCAGGGGTTCTTAACTGACTTGAGATCATCCCTAAACGTTGTTAGGCTGCTGTTGACTGAAGATAGAGCCAAATCCCTTGTTCTTATCCAAATAACCGCATTTTGAGGCCTATAAATATGAGCCAAAGGCCTCCATTTTCTGGATCTGGAATTTTATCAAGAGGACGAGGTGCTGCTGGATTGGAGAGTGAAGGAGCATGAAATTTCAGCGAAGGACAGCGAGATCCCGGCGAACTTCAGCACAAAGGAGAAGCCGTTCGAAGGATCTGAAGCCCGTACGTCCGTTCCTTGAGATTAGGCTTGGTCTTAATCTCGAGAAGAGCCCTGATTTCGCTTTGTCGATTTTAGGACTTCAAGCAAATACCCCCTTGGTGAGGTAGAAGCTCTGCCCAATTTTCTGCAACCGGATCTGATTCGCGGTCGTCCACAGATTAACCCCGGCACCGGCAAAGAACCCACGCAAGCAAGATCTGATAAACGGATCTTGTGTTTATTTTCAAGAAAGTTGTAATCTTTTGTTCTTTTGTTATTTGAATTCATTTGTAACGCTTAAAGTTTAATGAAATCAATGACTAAGGTGACTTTCGACGGAAATAAAAGGTACTTCAAACTCTGATAGTCTGTGAAAAGATTGAATTGAACTCTATATAAGTAGTGTCTTCACGCCTTCAGCGCAAATACTACTACTACTAAATCCAAATCATGAGTGTGGAAGTTCTGCTCACGCACCCTCAACTACCGTGAGATATATGCTACTACCCTCTGAGTCTGCACCAAAACACCTCCCAAAACTGCTAATGACGCATCCGTGTACACAACAAATATCCTGTCACTACTCGAAATAGTAAGAACTGGCGCCGTAGTCAACTTAGCCTTCAAGGTATCAAAAGCCTTCTAGCACTCCATGCTCCAAGTAAATTGTACACCCTTCTACGTAAGGTGTGTAAGTGGCATCAAAATCTTCGAAAAGTCCTGAATGAACTTCCTATAACAACTGACCAACCCTAAAAAGCTACGAATTTCAGTAACCATCTTTGGTGGTTCCTAATCAAGCACTGCTAAAACCTTAGCTGGGTCCACTACTTGCCCTCACTTCTGACAACCTGGCCAAGAAACCTGACCTCAGAAATCCAAAACTCACACTTGCTGAACTTAGCATATAGTTGATGTTCATGCAAGGTCGGCAAAGCCAAACGTAGATGCTGCTCGTGCTCCCACTCCGATCTCGAATAGATAAGAATATCATTGATAAACAAAATCACCAACTGATCCAAATATGGATGGAAAATCTGGTTCATCAAATCTATGAATACCGCGGTTGTATTTGTCAACCCAAATGGCATGACCAAAAACTCAAAGGACCCATTTCGAGTCATGAATACCGCGGTTGTATTTGTCAACCCAAATGGCATGACCAAAAACTCAAAGGACCCATTTCGAGTCTTCTCCGGCAAATAAAACACTAACATAATAATTCATTTGTGTAAATCTATAGCTACCTCATCTCAATAGGTGTCATATGATAGGGTGCTCGGGATATCAGTATTGTGCTCTGCTGCAACTCGATACAGGACTCAACCTCTCTCACCAGAGGTAACCTAGATATGTCCTAAAAGACATCCTGATAAACAGAGACAATTTCTAGTCTCGTACAAATCAGCACTCCGATACCTCAGCATCACCTCCTCGACATATGCTAAGAATGACTCCACATTCTGGTTATCCTATGAGGTTGTTACTAACTACACAATCCCAACGAATGCTCACAAGCTGACTATTTTAGTAAAACAGTTGATATTAACATGGTATGATGATAGACAATCTATACCGAAAACAATGTCAAAATCCGATGTCCGCGACACGATTAGATCTAAGAGAAAACTCAGACTCATCTAGTTCGATGACACATCTCCTACAAATACTCTCTAATAGGATATCTCTCCTAGAGGAGTAGAGACTGATAACGGAACACCTAAAGAACGTGCTTGTAAAACCCCGAAAATTTCTACAATAAATATATGTGAATTATTAATAGTAAATATTTTCCTTGTGATGAATAATCATATATATACACATATATATGTCATATGAATGTAATTATCTATGTTTGAGAACCCAACAAGTGATTTTAAATGAGAGAAATCGAGTGTTATGGCCAGCATGTGAAATGCCCAGCAGTAGGCATTTTTGTGCTCCGCGGTCGACCGACGCGGTCGACCGCACAGCGGTCAGAGAGCTTTCAGGTTTTGTTTTCTTTGCAGTTTTGTTTCGGGTCTTCTGGGTTTTGGGTCGGGTTAGGGAGTTAGTATTTATACCAACTCAAGCCAGGAGAGCCTCTTTTCACCTCAGGCTCAAAACCCTAGCCCCTATCTCTCAAATCTCAAACCCTAGCTGGATTTAGTGATTAGGAGGAGATCTGGAGGATTTTTCAGCGGGATGTTGGATAGGCAGCGTAGCGATTCAACCTCCTGCAGATATAGGGCTTTCGTCAACACCTAAGGATTTCAGTTTATGAAAGTTCACCAACGTTTTGTCTAATGAAGATCTAGATCTGAGTTTTCTTAAACAAGAGTTTAACCATGTTTTACTGTCATTTAAAACACTTCCAATTTGCTTTTCATGTATTTTGAAATATTGGGAATATGGATTTCATGCTTGAGACTAGCTATATTTTCCCAGAACTTTAGAACTCTTGTTATTGTAGAAATTTTGTAAATTTTATTTCAGGTTTCGAGCTGACAGAAACCCAGATTTGGGTTTCTGTCCGCTCGGCGGTCGACCGGTGCGGTCGACCGCTGGGCTCGTTTTGGAGCTGCGGTCGACCGCAAAGCCTCATCGGTCGACCGCGACGCTCGGTCGGTCGACCGCGACGCTCGGTCGGTCGACCGCGACGCTCGGTCGGTCGACCGCGACGCTCGGTCGGTCGACCGCGACGCTCGGTCGATCGACCGCGAGGTCGCAACGGTCGACCGGCAGATGCGTATCAGTGTGCGGTCGACCGGTGCGGTCGACCGCTGATCTCTCTGTTGAAATTTCCAGTTTTTTGTTTAATTGAGTATTATACTCATGTTCGAGGGTTTGT